ATATAGTTAAAGTAAAAGTCATGAAGGAAAGTAAATGAATCACGGAGAGATGGTATGTATATTAAGGAGTGACTATAAAATGATTATGAAATTAGCTAGGCGACTAAAAAAGCGCACTTGATAAGCTTTAAACAGTTCAAAGAGAGGTCACATGACCAGAAATATGCTTAAAAGATTAACTATCATAATTGATTTGCTAATTAATAATGATTGATTAGTGGTTGATTAAGATTAGTTGTTTACGTATCGATAAAATCAGCAAGTGAATCCCTGAACAAATATATTATTATTTGTTTTAATCGATACGTAAACAATCATTCTTATTCGTAAGTAAAAAAAAAAGAAGATTTAGTGGCTTATTGATAAATTGAAGTTAGTAAATTTAAAATATATTTCCGGTCTTTTTTAACTTTTTTTTTTTAAGAGAATTGGTTAGATAGTATTGTAGGTAGATTGCTGAAATATTTTAATTAACCTATTTCAATTAAAAATTAGTGTGAAAATTCAAAGATTTAATCATTCTACAGTTGAAGAATATTCAGATGTGAAATAAATTTGTAAAGAAATTGGCGGAGTAAAACTGACATGTCACATAGTAAATAGACGATAATGTTCAACGACTTACATACGACAGGAAATAATGGCGCAATATTATTAGATACTTTTCCGCAGTATCATTATATTATTTGTAGTGATTGTACATTGCTGAATGCGACAGGTATAAGACAGGTTTTTCGTCTCTCCTCAAATATCCTCCTCCCATTACCACTTCCACTTCCATTTCAAACCATCCTATTCTCATCTTTCTAACTCTTCCAAATTTTCAATCTTACCAATAATTCACTTTACTTCTAAGGTACAGTTGCCCTAACCATAGATTTTATTAAATTAACTTGTAGATTAGAAGTAATTAAACCTATAAAAGTGACATATAAAGTCGTGACATAAATAGCACTACACCATTACAAATTAAAATTCATTGAAATAATAAAATATGAACAAATTTAATTGAGCAAATTGATAGATTTTTAAGTCTATAATTTATGCATCAAAAAAAAGGAAAAATTGAGAAACATGAAAGTTTACTTTAAAAATAATAAGAGAGAAAAATAAGTAAGTTTTTATGGAATAGTTATAATTAATAATAAATTAATTTACTTTACCTCTACCAGTTTTATAATGATAGAAAGAGAAAGTTAATGTAGCAATGAGAAGGTTAAGAAAAAAGTACCTAATGGAAGGTAAGGAGGATGGATCTGTTTAGTTTACATTACATTTTTCGACAGATATCGCAAACAAAGTAATGAAGTCATCGTCAAATCACGATATTACTCCTAGAATACAGTCATTCTTATCTATTTGTAATAAATGCTTATTAATAGCATACTTTCTTTGCTAATTAAATAAATAGCTAACAGAGTTGTCTTAATCATTTCAATCTATGTGAAGCTTTAAAAAATACCACAAAAAATGTGAAACAATATTATTTAATACTTTCCTTTATTCACTTAAAACAATCGATTTGGTAGGGGAAATTTGTAATTTTACAAACTTTGTTGGATTGAAGTAAGAAATAAAATGTATTATTTGTCAAACAACTAACGATGAATAATGAATTTTGACTGCAAAAATTAAAAAAAATGGAAGATTTTGACAAGTTTTATTTTTCTTTGTCGTGAAATTAACAAATTTAAAAATCTCCTTTTTCTTTTTATTAAATTTCTGAAATTCTAGGAATTTCCGAAATTACTTAAATTTCATAAAAGACTAAAACTGATATCTATTGTTTCAACATTAATTTAAATATCAGTCCTTCCAGTTCAATTACATTGCTCGTTATTATATTGACTTTAGATTTTAGAAACATCCTTAAGTCTCTATTAGAAGATACTTCTAATTTGTAATTTAAGATGCAATTATTTCTTTCTTAGATAATTAATTGTTGAATGAAAATCAACCGGCGCATAAATTAGCTAATTTCCATTGTTCATTAATTAAACCACTCAATTATTTTGTATTATTCTCTCAGATTCAGCAAAAAAATTATGATTAATAGGTTTTTTTTTTCGAACTATTGCAAAACAACAAATCATGATATTGGCAATAAATAGTAATGTGCAGAATTAATCATTCCGTCCTTTTCTTTAAGTTTTACTAAAATTTCTCTTTTTTTGTGAATTTGTAAAAGTGAAGTCAATTTCATTTCTTGCTTAAAAGAAATTATTTATTATATTAGCCTTTTTTGTTATGAAATTCTTTTTTTAACAAGCTAACAGATGAGAAGATTAAGTATTTGATCAATAATTACAGAGAGATTGTGTTTAAATTTAATTTAAATTTTTTCAAACTCTTTTAAAAATTTTTAAACCGCTGGTAAAATTAGTTAAATGAAAAGTTGCCTTCAGAAGTAACCAAGTTTGAGGTGTAAGGAAAATATTACACTTTAACAGAGATTCCAAGTGGATAAGGTAAAAAGAAAGGATTGATGATAAAGGAAAGATTTTGTGAAAATAGCAGCTGTTACTTTATTGGTAGTTAGTTGAAAATATTCTCGAGAAGAAAAAAACAAAATTGTTTTAATATTTAAAAACCAAATATTATTTGAGTTAAACATTTCATTCCATTCCGTATTTATTTTTAATTTGCTCAGGAAAATCTTTATTTAATTTCAATTACTTTTTTTTTAATTTTATAGTTTGCATAGCTATCGAGTGGTAACAAGTTTATAGCTGCTTTCTTTTTTTTTTTTGGTGTTGGATTTCTTTCCGAAAATTGAAATACTATTACGACAAATTCGGAGAAAGAAACTTTTATTTAGACAGAATTAATCTGTTGTTGATAAAATATCAATGTTTCAAGTTTGTTGCAATCCTCGCAGTTCCATGACAGAAGTGCATAAAGCATAAATCAACAAACCATGATAAACAATCATTATTTACCAAAATTATCAGAATAATTAAACGTTTTTAATTATATAATAAATGCGACCATACAGAAATTTTCTGAATGATAATTAGATGACGCTCTTCACGTAACTCCATCATATCAGTTGGTGTGAATGCCTATAAATGGAATCACCTGACCTTAGTTGTGCTAATCCAAAAATACTTCAAGCTATGAGAAAATTTCCAAATGTCTCTTAATACTTAGCTGCTCCTTTTCTTACAATACAAAGCAATACTAACTAATATTTCATGAGACTTACGTTTATTTGCATGAAAGGATATAAGTCCAAGAAAGTTTAAACGAACAGTAAACGTATGTTGGCTGAACAGAGTGGGATAGTTCGAGTTGATAACAATTTGAAGAACGGATGGAATAGGCGATATATCACCTATCACAATACATGTTTTTTTTTAAGAGACTTGCACGATGTCAATACCACAAGAAATATCACATCAAACCATCTGATACAAAAATACTCTCGAAATTTCCATCATTATTTGAAAATGACTGAATTAACAAGAGTTAATGTGTTTAAAAAGTACATTTTATCAGAAAAACTCATGAATATGTTAGCCCTACACACAGTTATCTGAAAAAATTCCTTAGGAAAATTGAAAAGATGGATGGATAGATTGAGGTCATAAATTAGAAATAGATGAAAGTATCGTAAATGAGCGCACATTGCTTCAGACACATCTGTTTTGTTTTTCCAGCAAAAGTTTATAAATAAAACCAAATTTAACGGCTAAATTGTTAAGTTTGGTAAAGGGAAATTCTATTTCCTATTCGTCTGTTTCTGATCTTTAGGTAATACCCGAATGTGTTCATATATCCTACTTTCTGAGAGATGCACATATGGTGAAATTTTGTGGACTGCTTTTTTTTTGTTCCCCGTATTATTCAGTACTGTGATAGCAATTTTGTTATGTGCTTGCATTTATATATAAAAAGAGATCATTATCCGAATGAAAAAAAACCCGAATTTGTTTAGATCTGCCCATTATTACCTTTACTTTGACGATGATTTAAAATCATATCACCAAATTAGTGAACCACAAGGAAATCAGTTTTCCGTTTAAAACAAAATTTCGTCAATATTTAAGCATTCTGTTTGTTAGTGAAAACTTACTTTTGGTATTATCACTAAAACCGCTCGTAAATATTTCACAGGTAAAACCCAGGAAACTTAATCACTTCTACCACAATAAAATAGTCCTACTCCGTTGAAAAAGAGTATGAATAATATTTTCTCATGAATTACACATTGCCGGTAAGAAAAAGGTAGGGATAGGAAAAGGTGAGGAAGTGGCAATATTCACAAAACTACAGAGTTAAGTCAGAAAATAAAGAAAAATTTAACTTTTTTCAATTCGGCTTTGTTTCAAAATTCCGGAAAAAAACAATCTAAAACAATTAAACTTCAGAAATGTACGAACCAGTTTTACAGTGATGCTGAGGGTGCAACATGAAATCTTTTATTAAATTCATGATTCAGAAAACAAAATAATCTTCGCAAAAAACGCAAAACGGAAAGAACAAAAATCAAGAGAAAACTTTAAGTAATAATACATGAGTGTGATGAATGCACGTGAAAGTGAAATTGGCTTTACTGAATCCCCTTGAAAAAAAATTGTCTTTGGTGAAAGAAGATATAAAAGGCATTTTTTGATCTAAAAGACAATTTTGAAGTACCTAAAATATCATCAAGTTTTTGTCGACTGCAATATGAATTAGCAGTCTGGGGAACCAAAATGTGAACGAAATGGAGGAAATGTAGCATTTGTTTCGAACATTTTTTGGAAAATTAAACGAATGACGATATTACTGCAGTCAATGAGATATATCCTTTTCTAACAACACATCCCGATTCTCATGGTTTTTCCAAATATATGGAAATTGTTCCAATTCGGATCCTTGCTAGAATTTTCACAAGGGATATCTCAGAGGTTGATAATCTGTTGATACGAATAAAATTTTGAAAAAAACTGAGTGGTAATAATTCACCCATAGAATATAAACCGCTATAAAGTACATGATCTAAAGCATGCTTTTACGCCTTTTTGAAAATTAAAACAGAAGTTAGTGAGTTGGTGAGCGTACTTGAACACTGTCAACAAGCTAAATGATATCTTAGAATTAAAATTTTGCTGAACTTTGTAATATCAGAAGCGATGGAATTGTAATTACAATTAAATAACAAGCTAATCCAGGAAATGAGTGCTCCTCACTATCCTTCTATTCCAAATGCACAGAAACATTAAGCGATTTTCACCTTAACTGAAAATATTTCTGGAAAACTAATCTGGTCCAGCACCTGCAACATAAAGGTTAAAAAACACTAGTACTTATATAAACAGTTTCAAATGACTTTAAAGAGGCAAACAAAATTAAAAAACTATAAATCTAACAGAAAAATCTCGCAACCATCTTTTAACAGTTCTGGAAGAACAAAAAAACTTACTTCTTGTTGCAATAACTCTGTTCCATCCTCCTCGTCCTGGATCATAATCTTTGCGGTATTCATCTCGGACCTATAATAAATTCTAAAATATAATTAACCCTATACATATGACTGTATGCTTGCAAAACACTACTTCACTACTGTATTAAAAAGAAACACAAAATAAGAAATGACAGCAATACTTCAAGAAAGTATTCTTAAAAGTATTCCCAAATGAAGTACTCTCAGACAAGTTTGAACTTGATAAGTTGCAGTAAACTAAGGTTAAAGAAGGGTAGGTAAACTTAAAATAGAAAAAAAAAGACACTGAAGTTCCAGTACCTGCCCACCATGTTTACCACGTCCGTACTGTCGACCTTCTACAAATCCAGCGTCCCAATCCGTACGAATTATTCGATCATCTAACCGGGTTCCATTTATGCAACGCATAGCGTCTTCCGCATCTTCTCGAAGGTAGTATCTGTATAATCTAATAAACCTTACTATACATAAATTATACAGACTGATTCTACGTTTTTTTTTTTTGTTTTTAATTGAACTGTTAATTATTCGGAAAAGGCAATGCTTCCAGTGCCATTAGTAATTGATATTAAACAGTGGCTTGCAACTTCAGAGTTGTCAGTTCGGAAATGAAGAAATTTTATCATACACATTAAATCAATTCAAAATACCCTACATATTTTCCCACACCATATCGACGGCGAAAGAAAAAATTCTTGCATCCTGAAAAAAAACTAATATTCAACTCACTCAACAAAACAAAATCCGCATGGCGTCTTCTTAAATCGATCAATACCCATGATTATACGTTTGATATCACCAGCCCGACTAAACAGTTCATAAGTCTGAAAAACTGCAGATGAGAAAATTGTAGAGCAGAACCACAAATATGAATGAAAACCATAATTTGAATATGCAAACCTGTTCCTCTGTTGTGTAATATGACAGGTTGCCAACATAAAGTGTTTTCGAATTAAGCAGAAGCTTTTCCTGTTCACGCAGTGAACCCTAAAATAAGAGCTTGATAGTCAATTTTATAAATATAGATATATTTGTTACGATAGAGCTTCGGACTTATCTAGAAAATTAGTCAAAAATCCTGGTATTTCATTAATCTAAAGCAAAGCAGCAATAAAACAGAAGCTAAGAGTAGTGTCATTTTATTCACTTTACATACTAACCACTCTTTCTAGAAATTTAAGTAATAAGGAGATCAGCAAAAAAAGTATTGGGAACATTTGAATATAACATACTGCGCTCTTAATCAGGGCTTAAAATACATCAAGTAAAGCTGTTCAATGTTTCGTTGCTCCAAGCAAATATTTCATTCCAATTCCAGTATGTACTAAATCCTCATGACTTATCCTTCCCACAATGTACAAGTACAATGTACACAATGTATAAGCAGCACTCTGTCGAGACAGAAGGATGATTCCCCTTCCCTCTGGCTCATTTTTTCGGATCCCACTTGAGACACTATCCAAGCAAACATATTTTTATAAAAGAAAAATGTTAAAAATACTTCAAAATGAAAATATCATAATAGGCGATGAAGAATTGATGAAAACAGTACTGACCTTGAATCGCTGGTCGCGATAAGGGCCTAACGATGAGGCATCGTCTTTAGCTCGAAAATTGATCACACTGCTCATTTATTGCCAAATGAAGCGCACATCGAAACGATGAGAGAAATTGCTACTGAAACAAGCAAGAAGACCTGAAGTCCATATCATATCTACTTAGTGCATAATTGATATCAGTGTAAACCGAACTTATGAAGTGTCAAACTTCATCATTCATCCTCTTTTTGCCCATTCGCTTCGCCATTAGCCAAATGTGATAGTTGTTTTCGAAATTATCACATTATCACAAAATCACAATCAATTATCACATTATCACATTATTGAAATTATCACAAATGTGATAATTCCGAAAGCAACACGAGGAGTCAAATGATGACACGTGAGACGAAAAATTCGAAAACCGAAAGTAACTTTCACCAAGAATCTCCCTTCTCTTTGCCAAACTCTACTTCCTCCAAACTGAACCTCGCACAATTAAATTAACTGAACATTCCTCATAGTAAATTTAACGAGGTAAATGAGGGATTTCTAACGAAAAATCATCGTCCCATTAGCTATGACTTTGTTTCTGTTAGATTTTGTATTTTGATGGTAAGTTTGGATAGTAAGCGGAGGATATGTATACATTAGACAGGTGAACTGATAATCGCGGAATTTGAAAACACTGGCTAGATCAGCTACTTGAGACAAAGCCGAACTTTAAAAAGTGCTTTATTGAAATTTTGGATTCCATGTCATGGAAATTTCCGAAATTTAACTTTAAATTTCTGATATTTGGACAATTATTATGGCTTTCTTAGAAATACAAATATTGCTTCCGGTACGATCCAGCATGGTTTACTGCCAATACACGAGTTTAACGATTAATGCGTCTTGTGCACAATTTTCACGTTTGTTTTTATCAGCAGTAAATTTTATGTTTCATTTCCATAAAGTATACTTCCAGGATTATTTGACTGGAAAACAAGGTATTGGAAGCCAAAAAAAGATTTTACCTGTATTTCACCTGTTTGAGGCGGTAAAAGGAGAGGAAGAAGGCTGAATCCTTTCACGTATTCCGGTTTCGTAATAAGCAGAAGTTAGAGTAATCGTTTTTTCTTGTTAACAGTGATTTTGAGATTAATGGTTAATTTAAAGTATATAGAATTGTAAACTATTTGGAACAGTAAGTAACAGGAAATTAAATGGATTTAGTTTTGGGCGGTTGAGAGTATTTCGGATTATATCATTAAGATTAGCATTCTATCTTTTTCCATTTCAGTTACTTCTGAGGTATTAATTTTCATGCTTTTAATAAACAAACAAAAATTAATAACAAAATTACTGCGGATGTGTATAATACATTAACACAAATATGATTACTAAGTACACTTCCATCATCGATGAATATCTGTTGTAAGAGCTTGTACAATGCATGGATCATTTTTAGAACCTTCTCTGAATTCTTCAAGCGTTAATTTACCATCAAGATTCTGCAAATTTTTCCTTTTATTATTAGCAGTAATTAATTAAATTTTAAAATTTCCAGGAGTAGCATACCATTAAGTTTTGTTTATTTGATGACAAGTAAAGCTATTTCATGCTTCCCAAACTGAAACAAATTTTATCTAACACACAATCAAAATATATAAAATTATTAACTCTTATCAGATAGATAGGTATGATTTGTGAAGAAGTAAATGAATAGTTTTGTTTGGATGGTGAGAGAATATAAATGAACAAACATGATCCATATTAGAAAAAATTTTGGCGACTCGTTTTTCTGGAGTATCTTCATCCTTGGGTAGTTCAAGTATATCACCGATCATTGAATGGATTGCTTCAACAATATCTCCCATTTCTTCCTTCGTTATATAACCATCTTTATCCACATCATACAATGAAAAAGCCCCTAAATGAAAATTGTGTCAGTTATGAGAACATTTTTAAAATTCATAACATCATTCAAAAAATATAAGGGAAATAAAGCTCACAGTCTAACTTTTCATCGAGTGTACCTCGTGATGTTATTGATAATGCTGTGATAAATTCGTGAAATGATATGCAGCCATCCTGAATTGATTTTGTTCTTTGATCTTTTCGCAAAATAGTAAAAAGTAATCATTTCTCATGCTAAATTATTAGATTTTTTTTTCCAAATAGAAGATACGAAATTGTTTATGAATTTCAAAAATAATAACAATAAGGAATCATAGTGAAATTTGAGATGTATAAAATTCAAGAAAATTTATAGCGTGTCAGAAACTTTCTTATATAGATATAAGAATGGAAAATTATAGCTGGAGTTTTGAAAGTTTTTTTTTCTGTCTTGCTGTTAAGTTCGCTATTAAGCTTTTGTTTTTCATATGTGTCTCTGAAATATACTGTAAGTTTGTAACAGTCCATAGAATCCAATCCTTGGAAAGAAATTTTTCATTTCTTTTTTTTTTGTCTTTAGTGGTAGGCAATCAAAATAATTTCAGAATGCTGCTGAATTCAACAAACTTTTTACTGTTTATGCGTCTAAGGAGTGGCAAAGGCTGGAGAATATTGAACTTTATGGCCATGGATGGGCAGTTTATTAAGCCGTGGCAAATATATAAATGTGCATGATTTTAGAATCGAGCCAAGAAGATGTTATATCTTCGTTTTCATTAAATCAAGTGAGTTGAAACATCAGGTAGTTGGTGTTAAGGTAACAACTTTAATATTGTCAAACATGCTTCACTCCAGCTTGGCCTGACATGCTATGATAACATTATCAGTTGACATATTTCATAGAATGACTATGTGAACCTACAATTACTGTGAGCATTTCAGGAATCTATGATAAAAGCTAAGCTAACATTATTGCTGTCGAAGACATTGAACACGAATGTAGCAAATTTCGTTGGATCACCATTTGGGAAGAATTGTTTGTAAATATTCTGGAATTCATTCATTTTCAATTCTCCAGTGGGATAATCCTTCATGAAATCCTTGTACCACTTTCGTAATTCCTTTTTAGTAACTACAATCTGATATGATTATTTTATGCTTGAAATCAAACCTGTATAAAACTTCCAAAAATCATTAGTAAGGTCCTTCATCATTCGAATATTTGCTTGGAAAACTTTTTGAATATACGATCAAATTACTTTTAATAAATGAAATGAGATGATCTCACATTCATATTTTACTCTATTTTCCTTTTTATTGTTTGTTAACATCATTGAATAAGCGAATTAAATATCAAATTATGCTGTTAATAAGTTAAATCTTTATTACTGAATGAAATTAAATGAAATTAAATTTCAAATTCCAAATAAATAAATTAACAAAAAGTTTCAACTAACAATATGTTTTGCTTTCCAATTCCAGTAAATCCTCTTTTGGAATTTTCTTCCATACTTTCTTTCGTTTCGTATCGTTATCTTCTTTGCTACCGTTTATGCCCATTCACTTGTTTTTCAATATCCAAAATTTTTTAAAACAATATTTGTAATGAAGTAATTTATTAAATTAAATGTAGCATGAAGAAATAAGCAGATTTATAGATGAATTACACCAAATTTCTTCCTTAATTATACTATCAGAAGTATGCTTCAAATATGATGAAACGACAACTTTAACTTTAAAGAAAAGTAAGATAAAAGTCTAATTTTCATTTTAGAATGTGATAAAGTGGTGGTTTCTTCTGAATCCGATTTAGATCGTTTTATCCAATATATTTGGTATTCTTAGTTGAATTTTATACATTTCTTGATGAATCTCGATCAAAGATCACACTTGTGAAAACTTGATATATTGAATTACTTTCAGTTTTTGACCAACTTTTTCTATTCTTTTTTCATCTATCTCTATAGATCAAAGATGACTTTTAAATAACACTATCACAGAAATGTTGATGTAAGGTTCAATTTTAAAGCATAACTTGACCATTCAAAAATAATTTACTCATACGAATAATAATCAGAATGAAAATTATTTCCAAATTAATTATCAATTGATTGAAGCATAGAGTAAGACTTTGGAGTCATTATTGATCATTAATAAAAACTTATGATCTTTTTAACGTAGTTCAAATCTAATCATAAGTTGAATATGACCAATACCCTCATGATCTTGAACTACCTGAATTATCGCCCTAGAATGACAGTTATTTTTTTCTCTAATGTTTACTCCTGTTATAAATGACACTATTACTAATAGTGATAACGAGCTGATAACAGACTTCACTAATTGAAAAAGCAATTTCCTTTCAAAAAGAAAGAGAAGTAAAGTGGGAAATCACAACTGTTACAAGATAGATATGCAAAACTCTGAAATGAACGGAAAAAAGCCTTGTCTTCTTCATTAATTTCTGCTAAAAGCTCTTTTTATTCACGATATGATATTTAACAAACAATAACTTCTCGTTTTACACGAACATAACTTGCTGCTAAAATTTCTACATATCATAAAATCAACGAAAGTGAAATAAATCCTTTCCATTTTACAAGGCAGTACTTCCGCTGTTTACGGTAGACTGAAATAGCTAAGTTCAACAAATTAATCCCGCATGATAAAACATGAATAAATGTTCAAGATGTCAGAATTATTTCATTCTGTTTCATTAAATTTAAGACAGTACTTTTGCTGTTTATTGTAGGCTGAGATAGCAGATATTTTATGGCTAAATTCAACAAATCAATCCCATTTAATGAAATACGAATAGACATCGGAATAGATCAGAATTGTTACATTTTATTTCATAATTAAATTTTGAAATTGGTACAAATGCAGCCTAATTTATTAATCCATCCAAATATATTGTCAATGATACTTTTACTAATGAGAAAATTTGAATCTTGAAGTGATACTAAATGAATCATTTATTAATTGCTCATTTACTTTTCAACAAAAGATAATCTATCTTTTTATGCTATTTCAATACACTTTATGTGATATAAAAATGAAAAAGAAAAAACGAGTGAATGAGCTGTTTTAAAAGGTTTTTTAATATTTAAAAAATGATTTCTTCCGCTCAACAAATTTGTAATATACGGCAAAAATATTAAAATATATTAAATACAATATGCCAGAAATGAACAATTTTAAAATGATCAATTGATTCAGAATAATCACTTTTATCAAGCGTCTAATTTTTATCAACCCTTTTTTATCCCATAAAAAAACCTATCACCTCTTTTACTCTGTCACTTTGATTAAATTTAAATTTTATTTCTTACATGAGCAAAAACGGTTTCACAAAATAATTATTCTAAAATTAAAAATATGTTCAAGTTTAAAGGCTAACAGCGCTTTGCCAGTTTTAATAAAGTAACATTTATTGTTTTGAAAGATATTTTTACAGAAGTAGAAAAAAAGGACATTTCAAAAAAAAGAAATGAAAAAAAAATGTTGTAAGTATGGAAACAAAGAAATGACTTTGAAAGTGATTGATGTCAATTCCAAGTTCACAATGCTTTCGGCATTTTTCCGCCTAATGTTGTGTCGTTGTTGGCGATTTCAAAGATTTTTTGTTAATTTTGAAATTGAAAGATAAAAATTTATTTTGGTTACACTTTTATCGCTAATATTTTCCATAAAGTTTCGTTGAAGTGAAAAGAACGAATTTGATTGCAAATTCCATTAGTTCAATGTGTTTCATAGCTTTACAGTAGTTGCGTTTGCTCCATAAAACCTTTTAGCTTTTTAAACTCTTTCGAACTTCCGGAAATACGCACCAATACTCTTAACCGAAACAATAATGCTAATAATTTATTTTCAATTCTCACGAAAAAAAAAGAAAAAGTAGGAATGGAGGAAGAAAATGGAATTCATGAAATTAATCAGGATAAATTATTAATGTTGCATCTTAATTATTCAAATTAAAATTTTATATCCTCACTTTTAAAGTTTACGCATTATGCGCAGACTTTCACTTGGAAATAAATCATACGTAAATTCTAATTTGTGCCAAAAACTTAATTAATTAAACTGCTGATTGACACTAACGACATTGTACTTATAGTGTTGATAAAAATGTAAAAATATAATTCGAATGACTTGAAGGCTAATTAAACGAGATAATTTTACATAAATAATTCCGAAAAATCTGTACTGACATGGTGTAACCGAATGGATGATCTATGAATACACCAAAGATCAAGATTATCCAAGTTGATCATTTGACTGATTCCACTGTCATCTGATATTTCTGCGATAACAAAGAAATAAAAAATAAAATTGATCGATTCAACCTTATCAAAACATTACAAAACTAAAATAAGCAAATAGCAAATATTCGAAATGATTATTGCGCAATATTGCAAATTACCGAATACTGCAAATTTGCAATTCAAAAATCGATTTGCACTCTACACTTTCGTTGTATTCATCTCAATATTGTCCAGTTTCAAATTATTGACTGATGTTTCGGGATGTTTCGGGAAACTATTAAACTTTTACTGTCTAACAAGCATCTCGTTGCAAGCATTTAAATTTCTCAGCGCAAATATCTATTACTGTTATTATTATCATGCAATAATAACTGGCAAAGGAATAAGACAAAATTCAAAATCACATGACTTTCCCTTTAATCACTACTTTTTTTGACTAAAAAAAAGGATTTAAAGTAGAAGTAATCTTCTCCTCACAAAATATGGTAAGTTCTAATTTTAACTTCCTCACCTTATTTACTTTTTCTTTCATATACATTTCATACTTTTTCTGCGAATGCTTCATGACATTGAAAAAGGAAATCAATTTTTGGATAAAAATTAGAACTCTTTTTTCTTATTAAATTATACTAGTTGATAGATTAGAAGAAAAAGTAAAAGTAATTAAGGATATTTTTAGGATTGAAAAACTCCAACTACTTCTTATATCGCCTACAATTCATATAGAAAGAGAAAGTAAAAGTATTTGCAAATATTTTTAAAGTTGGAAAAAATTCAATTACTTACATTATCTGCAACTTATAAAGTTTCCTACTAATTAAGTGATGCTAAAATACTTGAATGAGCATTTCTAGCAAAAGACATTTTACTTCTTTTTAATGGTCTTATCTTACTTCCCGAAAGTATCACAAAAACTTAGCCATAATGAGAAAAAGTGAAAAAAACTGCCAAGTGTGTAAGGTGAAAATAATTGCAATATGAAATTAACAATAGTTTATTTTTTAAAATGAACTTAGAGGAAAATAATGATGATGGATGGAAGAGGATGAGAAAAACGCAATTGTTGATGAAAGATGAGTGGTGTGAATTAAAAATGATTGAGTGGCCCATAAAAAATATAAAAATTGCATAGAATTGTTGGCTGATTATATTTAAAATTAAAGTCCTCATATTCTTAGAATTAGATATTTTACAACTTTATTTAGACATAATTTAGTGGCCCAAAAAGGAATATGACGTAAATGATAAAATTAATGGTTGATTATTGAAAGAAGTACTTCCATTATGTTATTTCAATTTTGATACAATCAAAAGTACTTTAGGATATTGAAAATGAATTGTGTAGAGAAAAGTTCAATCTTAAAGATACTTTCATCTCTTTACCATTCTGATACAACAACACAATAAACATTAATATATTTCATCAAAAAATTCTATTTTCTAGACATATCATCCTATTATATTGCCCATTATATTTCAGTAATTCATTATTGATGGACATTTAAATATTAAAGTATTAAATTAAATTTAAACTATTAGGTGTAAAATTAATGTCCTTATATCCTCACAAAATTAACCTCTGCGTAAATCATCTCAGGATTCCTTTTATAGTCCTTTCTGGAAGAAACAAGCAAAACTGGAAAAAGTGTAAATAGTGACCAGTTGGATTCCAAATAAAATGAGGACAGTATTCGGTCGCATCTGATGCTTCTGCAGTTTGCCGTGCTATGGGGTGGAAACATTATTCGAAAAAAGTGAGACATAAATTTAAGTATAAAATTCGCAATTTGTTTATAAGGAATAAAATTGGGGAATTTTAAAAAACAAATATACAATATGGAATTAATTATTAGATTTAAAATGCTCATACCTTTTCAACAATAAATTTGCAGTTCGCAAGTTGACATTAGTCACTTTTTTTTCTAACTGATTAGAAAAGAGATATAATTAATTATTGCTAATCTTATTATTGAAACTGAAACATTAATGTATTAAAGTATATTTCCAATACAGATATCCAAGTTATTACGATATTGAGAAGACATTTTTGTATTAAGCCAAATCCTAAAATGTTTCATTTTTCAATTTCATTTCCATATTTTTACCCAAAACAAAAACAAATTCCTAGCAAAATTCTGAGTTATTGAAAAATATATTTGTTATAGTAATAAAAGCTTTTTGAACACTGAGTTTAAATTCAAATATGATTTCTGGAAGCGTCCGAAATTAAAGATTTTTTTTTCACATGAAACGATGTCACACAAGGTGAGATCAATATTTGAATAGGGAAGATTT